AAAAAGGCACAAAAATCCTGGCACCTTATGGCTGTTAATCCAACTATCCAGCCTAGTTCTTCTCCTTCTTCATTATTTCTGTGCCACTCCCTCATCACTGTTGGAAAATTTGGGTTTTTTTGGCTAATTATTGAGAATCCTGGGGCTCAACTCAGAAGTCAGGTATTTATTAGCACTAACTCATCCTGTTCAATATTTTTTAAGAAATCACTATCTTAACCTGGCTAAATAGCAAAAATCAACAGAGTAGTTGCTGCCATAATTTATTTCTAAAAGGTATAACAGTTTAAAACTTTTAGGAAGACCCAGAGAAGAATTGCAGACAATTCTGATTCAATGACTTCTAGCAAAAACTGCCAATGTGGTACTAGAGGAACACAGTAATCCAACTGGGAGTCACAACAATAAATTGTTTGTTTCAGTTTTGGAAATAAGAGTAGAAGGAAAATGATGAAACCTTTCACTTTGGAACTGCTTGACAATTCACTGCTAATTCTGAGGACTTCTCTGTTTGTAGTTCTCAGTTTTCTTTCAAATCTATTTGTCTACAAAAAGACCTGAAAAGATGCTATCAAACTTACATTTTTCAAAATAAGGTATGACCTGGGTTATCTACCCAAGTTTTAAATTGCATCTTATGAAGACGAGTTCTTGCATTACAGGATTCTAAGGTCACGAAGGAGGATCAAGGAAGCTAAGTATCATCCAGATCAGTTCTCTAAGGCTGCATTTGCAGTAGATCATAATATTTAGCTGTGCCTCCAGTACACTGCAGGATTTTATATATTGCGCTCTGTAAATAGAGGAGACTCCCTGTTCCTGACAGACTGCTGCAGAACAGGTAGTGATCTAATGAAAAGCAAAAGGAGACTGAGAAGGGGTTTGCCAGAGCCCTGTGTGATGTGAATGCTAACAAGTCCTCTCACGTCATCAGCTTCCCTGCTCTCAGCTCCCCCTCCCTCCCTTCCTTTCTCTTTTATGAGCCAGCTTGAAATCAGGGAATTACATGCTAAGGAAAACCCTTCAGCTAAACATATAATTATTCTGCACAGGATCAGTGCAGCACAGTTAATCAGTTTACCAACTGAATTAATTTTTTTTTTTCCATGTCTGCATCTCCTGTTGAGAGTGGAGAAATTCTAGATTTAAGGGGAGAAACTGGTTGCAGTTGTGAAGTGAATATCTAAAGCTGAGCATTCGTTATGAGAGGATCCTCTACTGCAGGCTGTTTGGGCACACAAACCTTACTGCCAGTCCTTGAGACTCCGAGTAAAGGACGTCAAGTGGAGTTGTTACTTACAGATGCTTGAGCCACCACTGGCTTATCCTTCTTATTTTAATGTTCAGCTGTTTTCTAAAAGTCAGAGCTGTATTTCATTGCATTGGATTGTTCCAAAGGATTAGTATTTATCTGTACACAGGTGTTAACCCACTGTGAAAGAGTGACCCCTCCAAGCCCACCAAACCCTGTACAGGATTATCCTCCATTATGCATGGACGCACACCATAGAATCGTGGAATTGTTCAAGTTGGAAGGGACCCTAAAAGATCACCTAGTGCAGGTCCCCTGGCTCCCCTGCAATAAGCAGAAACATCTACGGCTGGATTTGGTTGAGGAGTGCTCACTGATAGCGTGCTGGCAACCGCAAAGTGTCTTTGAGTTTCATAGTAAATGCAAAAGTTCATTGGCCAACAAGCACGAAAGTCTCCAGGTCAAAGAATTACAGATGTAATTATTGAAGTACATCTTGTCATTTAATCGTGTTTATTAGAGGAAAAAGAGAGCCAGCTTGTAAAGTACTGTGATAATTAATACCTGTGTAAGTTGTACAGGTAATATTTGTTTTCCCTGCTGTGCTGAAATAGAACTTAAGCAATGCAATGTAAAGTTCTTCCTCTTAAAGTAAATTTCAAAGTCCACAGTACACATCAGAGGAAAATAGTTGAGTTATGTAAGAAATGGAGACGTGCCAGAAGAAATACTCATTTTCTGAAGTGAAAAGCATTTACAGAACTTTAAAATTTTGGAAAAAAAATAAAGAAAAAAACCCCTTCTTTTAAAAGAAACCTCACAATTCATGTTTCTACTCAACTGAAAAGTTTCTTTTTAATCACAGTGCCTTCTGCTATGTGTTTGCTAATCTTTACAAAATATTTTTTATGCTCTGAAGACAATTTCTTTTATACAAAGCTATTTCAAGCCTTAATTTCAGTCCTATATAAAGCCTCTAGAATCAATTTCTAAAAACTTGCTTGGCCTTTTCAGGTTGTCCACATCCTCAGATGCAGTGCCCAAGTTGAATTCCAGATGAATGCATTCCCGAGATAGGAACTGTGAATAAATACAAGATGCCAACTTGTCATAATAATGTTTCTTAAAGCCTAGTAATTTTTACTTTTTTTGGCAAGTAACATTTCCTTAAGGAAAAGGACAGAAGGATGTCTTCTCTTGGTTGAAACTTGGGCTGTAACTGCTTCTGCTAACAGCACACCATGATCAGGATGCATTCTGGGTAGCCAGGTCTCAAACTATTAACATCATTTCTGTGTCTCACTCCCATCTACCATTCAATTACTTGGTGCTGCTGGTAGTCACTACTAGTTAATCTCATACCACGTACTGTAATCACCATTTTAAAACTAAGTTAAAGAATCTTAAGTTATGACAAATGCAAGTTAAAAAAACCAACATATTATTTACCTATGAAATGTGTTACAACATGCAACCTTTAACCCACAGCTGACTAGACATTTTTAAGGAATAAAAAGGCATATTACACCTGCAATATTAGATACATTGTTCATTAAGATGTTACTTTCTATGGTAAAGATAGTATTCCACATTTATAGTGTTAATTTCCCCAAAATGTTTTCACTGTACCTTTTAGTCCTGCTAAAAAAGTGTCCTCTCAGTCTAGCTGATATATGTAAAACTACATTACTATGTGAATGTGAATATTGCTACTTTGCAAGACTTTGACCTCTCTAATGCATTCATAGCCACTTAGAAGAGTAACTATAGCTAATGGAGCTGACATCAGAACATACATAAATTAAAGGGAATTTTGCCTAGTGGCCACAACTGGGCAAATTTTGTAAAATTAAGGATTTCCATGTACTTTTAAAGTAATTTTGGGATGCTTCCATTTGTGTTTGTTACATCTGTTCTTTGATTTCAATTGAAATGTGCATTTTCTAAAAGCAAACATTGGGATAAAAAAGGAACGTGGTGAAAAAGAATATATATGCAACTTTACTGTTTGTAGATTTGCAACAGTCATGTTACCAAGGGAAATATCCGTCCTGTCAATACTTCAGTGTTTACTGTATTATATATATGCATAAGCCCAGAGGCAGAAAACTGACAATCCTGTCTACTCCAGACTTCCTTGTGGATGCAGGATGCAGTCTTTGTATAGAAATGTAACTGTCAAACAACTCAATACATTTAGGAACCTTTTGGTTTTGCTTCCTGTGGATTAGAGTTTCCCAAGATGAAATTAGCTTTTACATCAAAAAGGATAAAAAAGTAGTAAGGACTATTCTTAAATTAAGCAACAAGTATTACACACTGATATTCAATTTACATAACAATTCAAACCATGAGTTAAAATAGCATAAGAAGGTCTACTTTATAAGTCTTTTACGTACTTAATATAAAGGTGTAGATCAGAAGTCTCCTCTGCACTTACATTACATATTGATTTCAAATACTGTCATTGGAATATGGGACTCAATCCTGCACCTAATGGCTTTGGGATACACCCCAATGACCTGCTTTAGACCTCCCAATTAACCTGAGTTGACAACCACCTGAGACATACATTCCCTTAGATACCATTCCCTTCGCAATACTGTATGCTTGCAGAAGAATAGTTTGCTCAGAAGCGCGGTGCTGCTGATGGGCACTCCAACAGTCCCACTTCAGTTCTGTATGGAGATGTATCTCAGCAAAATGAGATCTAAGCCATTCCCTTATTAACGATAACGCACTGAAAGCTTTAATGACATTATACTGGGTATCCAATTCATCCCTCCAATAAGTTCAGTAATCACATTACAGAAATTATTTCCGTGAGTAATTCACAAACAAAATTTGCACCTCTTTTCCTTATATAATGGAGATCCATTAGAGCAGAAATCATTTGTCTCTAAGACAGGCAGCTCATCAGAAGCAGCGTGTAACAGTAATGCATTCCACTGTGGAAATACATTTTCCTCACTCAGGAGACATTTAAAATACTTCTCATCTTGAACAATTCTTCCCCCTCCCCTCCAAACCAAGCTGTTTGTAACACTGCTGAGCATTATAAAGCACAACATGTCACAGCTTATGGCTGTGTTGTGAAGCTGCAAACGTGCAGGAAATTGTCATTCCTGTCAAGTTGTCTGGAAGAGTTTCCCCCGTGAAGCCATGCTCAGCACCGCGCGCTTCCCCCTGCCCGCTCCACATCGGGCACAGGATGCACAGTCCTCGGTACCGGGGCTGCCGGAGACGCAGAGCCTCGCACAGAGCAGCACAAGCTGGGAAGCCTGAACGAATCAGGACATGTCACCAAAGCATCAGGATTCCTCAGACCAGCCACCGGCACCTTACGCTGCTTGTATCTCCCCAAACTACACCACGAGTGCTGCACAGACACTGCATCAGATCACCTGACGTGAACAAAACAGACCTAATCAGGGCAAATTTAAAGCAGCCAAACATAATAACGTTACGCTGTGCAATGCATAATGGAGCCCTGAGACACAAATACTTTATGTCTGCATTTTCCAACAAATGCATTAGATCCCTGCTCTGTTCCCAGCAGAAATTCTGACAACATGCTGTACAGCTTAAACAGCCTTGCTCTTCAGTCGTGCCTCTGAAAACTACTGTGCAAAGCAGCATATGGGTTATTAAAACTGAATAAACTCTTCCCAAAACAAAGAATACAGGAGCAGATACATATTTGCAAGGATCCAAAGTGCAGACAATGCATGATAATAAACAATCATACCTTTCATCCAATCCACTACTTGCTTGGGCATCCACTTGCTAATAGGTTCCATAACGAGAGCCATCATCAGATCACTTATCATTCACACCAAAATCAGAAAAAGGAGAGAAAAAACGTATCAGAGCATGGCTGGGATAAGAGAGCTGTAGGATTTTACAGTGCAGTCCAAAGAGAAGATGATGCTTTGTCCCTCCAGGTTTCTCCTGCACTGATTCAGTAATGTATAAAATTACACTGCTTGATCAGCTCTGGCACCTCCCCCACTGCACACAGCCTGCAACGCTGGAGCACACTGAGCCAGGAAATGGTGCAGTACGTATAGACTTACTTACAAGAGCCTCTACCCAGTGATCTACTTATTAGACTGGCACAAATATAAAATTGTATTACACAGAGAGCAATTGGAGCTGGAGCTATTCCAGGCACCGAGTTTTAAGGAGCTTTATTCCAACAAGCTGTGGGATCTTCATTGGGGAAAATATCACCACTGTAACTTGATAGCAGATTGTCTCAGCTTCATTGTGAATATGCTGACTGTCATTCAATTTAAAGAGAAGATAGAAATATCAGAGTATCACTTGGCATCTGGCAAAATGCTGAGCATCTCCATCTTTACAATGCAAAATGTTGCTGAAGTCTTATCCTATATAATCATGTAATTCAGAATGTCAAACACAGGCTAAAAAGTCTCACCATGAAAAAAACTATTGGAAGAAAATGTTTTCTTTTCAGGCCACATTCAGAGCCAGCCTGTGATCCTCACATTTTGTAGTGAAAAGTGACAGCATAGAAGGTTGGAGTCAATTTTCACTGCTACAGCACCCTTAACAGACAAGCGTAGTAAGTATTTTGATTGAAAGAGATGGAACTATTAGACAGCCTCTCCCTTCTGTTAGGAACAAAAATGTTTTCAATATTCCTAATAATGAAGTTTATTACCTTATCAAAAGATGAAGGTGAAGCATCTTAGTGAGATGTGCTGGACAGTACTTGCTGGACCCGTTTATGATTGATTATGCCTCGTGCAGCAGCGTGTGTTCTGCATCATGTGGTTGAAGAGGTGTGTGCTTTCTGTTCAAGCCATTGTCAGAGATACACAGCCCCACCATTTTATCTTTGGAGGGAAAACTCAGCCTCCAGAAGAAAGGCAGAACAAAGCAGTTCCAGCTTTCTTTCCAGTAACCTTCCACCCATGCCTTTTCTTCTGCACTGTTTCAGGCTCCATTAGCATGCTAGAATAAGAAAATGATATTATTGCCATGTCTCACCCCTCACAATAGGACCGTGTTGATTTATCTGTTCTCTCTTTCTTACATGAGGGAACATAAAAGATTTTTTGTGCTATGTGTTTGTGTTACACTGTTTCGGGCTTCTTCTTTAAGTCTATATAACCATGTAGACAAGCATCCTTTTTTCCCCCTGAAACGTCTCCAAAGGGATGCACCATCTCAGTTCAGTGGTGCACTCTATCCTTTTTTATTTTTCGTTTGTGTTGGGAAGTAGTGTGATTAGTATTCCATGATGTATTTTGAGTGCTCAGAGCACAGATCTCCTATTGAAAAGGATTCACATCAATTATCCTTCAAGAAGGCTGTTTGCTGTTTCCAGCTGAACAGCATGTCAGCTTCCTCTGTGAGTTTTGGGAGACCACTTTCAGTAGCTTTAGTTCTAAATAGCTATTTACAATGGACATAATAATAGCAAAGATTTGAAACACAACGTGCTCCTCTTTTTACGTAATAGCGGACCAGAATTGAGATATATGGAACAAATATTTGTTAGCTACTGGAAACTGCGGAAGATGTTTGGTTTAGGTCTATTTCTTTCTTAAAATTATTCTAAGAAAATTATCACCACTCCTGGATTCTTCTGAGTTTAATACAAATATGAAAGAATTTGAGTTAAACTATGTTGAGTATGAATTTGGTATTTGGACATAGTATACTGGAAAACGCCTTCATGATTGCTTGGACTGTTTCCCCAATTCCTCTAATTTGACAGACGCTCTGTCAAGGTCCTTTTGTCTCACATTTCCTAACTATGCTTGACTGGGCAGACATTTTTGTATATTTGACATAGTTTTGCAAGAAGATGGAGTCTGAATTCAAAGCTCATCAGTGTCAGTGGGCATACAGTTTTTGTTGTGCTTTGATAACAAAAGAAGCCTCAAACCTATTGTTTTAAAATCAATACTTCCATTTTCAGAACGAGAATTTTCAAAAAACTTTTTAATGTCCTGTTACTGAAAAGCAGGTTTGCATTTTCATTTACTCGTATTATTCACCACCATGCTGTTAGCTCCTTTCCTATGTTCTTTCTTCTGGCTAGTCCCAGTTTCTCTATATTTGGAGATTCTACAAACTTCTGGGCAGCCATCTACTTTTTGTACTACTTTACAGGAATTAAATATTTAAAGTTGTTAAAAGTAGTAACTTTGTTTCTCTCCTTCCTGAGAAAATGATTTATTCATACATTCAGCTTCATTATCTGGTGCATAGATCAGTGAGCACGGCAGAAGCCTGTCAGTAATCAACCCCAAAAGGCTTCACCAACTTCTTTCATGGATATGTACATTGTGACAGTCCATGGAAAATCGTACCTGGGTGTTTCCTCTGCTTTTTGTTTTGTTACTTTGACACAGATTTATTTCTCACAGTCTACCATGTGATAAACAGGACATGGGAAGGCCTTCTCTAGGTTAGAAATGGAATCCCTGTGACCAATTACAAAGCTCACTAATGAATGGAACTGAGCAATAGTTTAGGCCAAAAGAAGTCAAGATGTGTTCAAGCTGTTTCAATAAGCACAGCTCAAGTCGGAGCATAGCACTTTATAATATAGATTGTCCAGTGTGCCAGCTGAGGTAATGACTCTAAAATGAGTAAGCATGGAATGAGCCACCCACTAAGCTATCCTTCTTATTACTGACATGGTTCTCAACATGGTGGTGCTGGAGTTAAGTTGGCCAGGGTACACTTATTGGCAGCCATAGGTCAGTGTAATAAAATCAAGTCTGAAAAGTCGCTAAACAAGAAACTTTTAAAAATGTAAGCAAAACTCTCTAATCTCTAAAGTTATTCCGTCTGTTTTTCTGCCCATTTATTGCAAGGCTTCTGCCTGGATCTATCCCTCACTCTCTCTTGTATTGCTTCCTAATATCAACATAAAAGAAACAATGCATTCCCATGATTACGTTTTTCTTCCAGGCTGAACACAGCAAACCAACAGAAAAAAAGATCAAGGAACATCTTTCTCACTATTATTCTATCTAGGTCATGTAAATGAGAAATACTTTCTGACTGAAGTCTGCAAAGGCACTGGAGCAAAGTAAAGCATTTGAAGCAGGGAAAGGAAACAGACCTTTCACTGTATGGTGCACAGTTGTTGTCAAAGGCCTACAGAACATAATCCAGTAATTTCAGGTCACAGTCACTGCTGTCATCTCTGCCAGCAAAGGCCTGAGACATAACAGGCTGGTGGAAAGATTTCAAGTCGCTCCTTCTTCCCCACAATAATGCTGGTTGTTCTTTAGCTCTTCAGCATTGCCTGTATCTCTGGGATTACTAATTAAACCATCAGTCTCTGTGTTTTCATGGTCACCGTGGGAGGCAGTTAAACGTTCTTGTATAGTACATGGCTGGTGATAACTTTCCAATTAATGATTATGCTCAAACACAGTACAGCAGTTAGCTGGCCTAACACATCGAGCAATCATTTCTATTTCTTACATTTTTCATTTAGTAAGAATTATTCTCATCTTCTTTGATGAAGAAATCACCGTATGTTGTGAGATACATTTTTATAGGCAAGTAAGTTCAAGAAAATCTTGTAATAGTATTTGATAGCTGTTATGGAAAACATGAACATACAGTTTCAGGTTAAATAAATCATGGATGCCCTCAAAAAGTTCAATGTAATACAACTTAGGACATTTACATGGGCTGCTCTGAAAGTAATGCCTTCCATTTTATCATGTTGACCCATGATGTCAGAGACAGCCATCGGTAGAATGGCAGTAGAGGTTGAACCTTCCCACCAACATCCCATGACATGTTGCTGCTGTGTGACAGGTGGCAGCAGAGGAGCAGTCTGACAGAACAGATCTGACATGGAAGTGTGAGTGAAGCAAAGGGGGGGAATTGAATTCCTCCACGTTGAAAAAAAATGAATCCACTGACATCTATCAGTATTTGCTGATTGTTTATAGAGACCAAACAGTGGGTGCAGCACAGTAAGGTGATGGGTGGTGCGTTTCAACAGTGGTGATGGCAACACGAAAGACAAGCCATGTTCCAGACAGCCAGGCACAGCTGTCACACCACAAAATGAAGAGTGTCTCATCCACGCGAGTCAGGTATTAGAGGTGACTATGACAAAAAACAGTGTTTTGTAGCTGAGAATTTGATCTATTATATAGTGTTACTGTGGTCTTTGTATCCCTTGTCTTTTCCGTGGAAATAAATAAGAGGCATTACTTTCAGAGCAACCTACATATATACTTTAAATTATTAATGCAAATATATAGCAAAATCTCTATGGGAATGACTGCTGATTTCCTGGTTATCATTAAACATTTTTTATCGTGTATCATTCACGCATTAGACAGCTCCTTCTTGCTGAAAATAACTTTCTTTAAAAACAAAACAAAGCAAAACAGAATGTATCTAAATATTACTAGTTTTGCTCAGTTCTAAGCCAGATTCTTCCTGACGCTACTTTCACCCAATCTCTTCCCACTGTAACCCTCCAGACTCTCCTAGTTTAAAGTCAGAGGGCAAGAAAACTGCCTTTGGTGCACCTGTAAGACAGCACCAAGGCTTCTATGGAGAACCCCCTCACTTGAAAAATGGGTCAGGTTCCAAGTCGTCTTCCCCAGCCGATACCCCAGCTGTGCCGGGGGTTCGTTCTGCCCTGCGGAGGCAGCGGCCGAGGATCTGCGGGCAGCCGCCCCGACAGGCCGTGCCAGAGGCTGCGGAGGCCGTTCTGCGCACGGGGCGGCCCGCAGAGCCACGAGCGCTGTGAGCGGCGCTGGCTGCCATCTGCTGGCTCCGCACCCGCCGCTCCGCGCTGGAGATACGGCGGTGTGCCACGCGTGAGCGCGGTGCTGCGAGCGCAGGCAGCGCCGCAACCTGACTGCCGTTCTGCCGTCTCTCTCAAGACATTTCCCTGCCGATGAAGCCCTAAAAAAGGCGAGAAGCGTTCCCCTGCTGCTTCACCGGCGTTGATTCTCAGCGACGCGAATGTCACCGAAATCTGGAACTTTGAAAGCAAGAAATCTTTTTGCCTTATAAAATAGGAAGAAAGCAGTTAATATATTGAATAATACTATTCTATAATAGTATTATTATATAAACCTGCTGCAGTCTCTTATTTGCTTGGA